CTGCCTGCTTGCCTGCCTGCCTGCCTGGCTTCTTGGCAGCCTCCGGCTTCGGCCTGCAGCTCGTGTGTCCCGATATGGCCGTGTACCAATCATTTACCATCTACCAAACCATACAATGGATATTTGCTCGATATTATCGGTTGTTTTATCGTTGGACCGACACATTGACTGCATAACGGAGAAGTACATTGATTAAGAGTCATTAAAATTTCATTTGATTATTGCTCTCTCTCTCTCTCTCTCTCTCTCTCTCTCTCTCTCTCTCTCTCTCTCAACGTGGAACAATATCAGTGCCGTTATTCGGCTACATGTTATCAATCGGTTTGATGAAAACGAGAACTCTCCGAAAGAGCTTTTTAAAGTACATGAGATGTGGTAATGATTAAACTTTATTAGTGTTGTTTTAGTGTTGTTTTATATATGTTGTTTATAGAACTTGTCTTGCGATACTTTTTGTTTTATCGACGAGTTATCGGCGTATCATTTTTACGTCCGTTCTCGTGGTCGTTTATCACCGCGAGTGATGGATGTGTCGTATCACTCGGACAGTGGAAAACACGCTTCTTTAAACAGAATCGAGAGTCCGAGAGTTTTCCGCTGAAAGAATTTTAGATATTTCTAGTTAGTATTTTATATTGTTGATACTAACATAATGCTGACGAACAGCGCAACTGTTATTCTTGTTTACTATCTGCTTTTCGAACGCATCTTTTTTCTTTCAATTAAGAAGAGAAGCAATTATTATTATCTGAATTTATTCGAGGTAGCAATTTTTGATACACGATTTGTACCGCGGTGTCAGTAGAGAGAGAAAGAGAGAGAGAGAACGTCTCGCTGTTAACCTTCGAGTTATCACGGAAACCCCCGAGAGCCGTTCAACCGCGACTTTCACTCCCTTCGAACGGCCCGACATTCCAAATCATTAAGGAATTATGAGTGGTAGTATGCAGCCGCATGAGTACCGTGCGGCTCTGTTAATAGCGAGATGTCATTGTTGAGCGTGTTATGACACGGGCGACCGTGCTGGTGCAGAGTTTTATTGCTGTCCGCCAACTCGTTTACGTCTACGTCGAGGAACGCGCAGCACGCGGATTGGAATTTGTCGAGTAATTAGCGGAAGGAAAGTTTGATGCCTAGACATTTATTTTTTGACACATCGCCGACCCGCTGACACTGTAATACTCATCGCTTTTGTGACGGATAAAGTAAACGCTGTTCACGCAGAGTATCTGTTCTCTGATTAGTAAGATAAATTTTTAGACTTGTCCACGTAACCACTTGTTGTTTCGCGGATGGATAAAAAATTATCTGAGATACGCTAATAAGTGGTTTCTCTTTTTCGTCACACAGTAGCGCGAACATATTTTCCTATTTATCTACGTAATATGCTCGTTTTGCCTTAATTGGCGGTGAAATTTTTCAATTCAAGACAATTAACTCGTAATTCCTGTAAATTGTCTCCTCACGCATTCTTATGTCGGCGAGGCGTCTAAACCTCTTCTGGTATTCGTCACGTCTTCATCATCACGTTTGTGGCGAAGGAAGAAGCGGGTTGAGGCATGTAATTGTGTTACACGACATTCCATAAAAATTAATTTAGAACTATCATACATCTGTCGCGAACGGAATTTCAGGATAAAAAAGTAATAGAATTAAACCGAGGCGAGTCAAACCATTACGAACCAGATGTCGATAGAATAATTGCTGAAAATTCCTCGCGAAAAATCTCGGTCGTCTTTATTTAACGAGAGACAGATTTACTCATTTATTGAGAAATTCTCGACATTTTGCTGACATTTATATAACATCGTCTCTTTGCGGAGCGTCTCTATTTAATTTTTAGTAGAAGGCTTCGTCATTAAATTTTTTAGCTAGAATTCAAAGGAAGTACTTCCACTTATGCAATCTTACTGATCCATCCGTGCATAATTTTTACCGGAATATTTAATTACAAACTTTTTCGTCAGAATTGCAACGAAATTTCCGTGCAAGAGAGCAAGAGCAACGACCGCGTGATATTCCTTTGATAATTCTTTTCGCTTGACATTGTTTCTCGCGGTCGACCACCTTATCTCCCTTCTGGGCGCGTCGTCGCGATTCAGATTTGCGTGTGCGGCGCTTTTTTACAGACACGAGCGACTCTACGCGCCTTGTAACGTGAAATGGAAATTGCCTTGGTGCGTGCGTGTTCCGAACGATATTCTGGCTACGGGAAATTACGGCGATCGGATAAACGTGTTCGCTGATCGATCGTATCGCTTGTTCACGCTTATATCAGCGTAACGTTACTAATTATTTCATAACATCGATATTACAGTCGACATCGCGTGGCTCTCGACGTAATGTCGATATTTGGTCACGGGCCTTGGGCCAATTTCCTATGGGGGGACGTGACGTATCTGACGGGGAAATCGGTAACCGGGCCGGGTACGCATGCCGGTCAGTGGCCGTGTCTACGCTTCTGTCGCTCATTGTGCTTGCCTGCGGTATGGTTCAATGGCCCAAACTTCCCGGATACACTTACCTACGACGCAGAAAAAGAACCGCATCGAAACGTATCCGTTATGATCAAAAGGCTTATGAAAAGTGTAATGAAATACATGCAACACGAGTTATGCGGGCTCAAGTGCGTTTCTTAAATTTAATAATCAACGATTGCGCGTATAATTGCGGACATTCGCGCATATCCTTTTTTTTTCTTTGAGCCGTCGTTCCTCCCA